TTCCTGCCTATGCAGGGGGTTGGACTCGATGATCTATTGAGGTCCCTTCTGACCCTAACATCTATGAATCTATGAAGGGTGTTTGTGCCCAAAGGCTTGCAATTAAATACTTTTTTTTTCAAAAATCTAGTTGGTCTTATAAAAGAGATCACCTCTACCACGAGTTCTGATTCCTTTTGCCTCTAGACCAACATGGCTACAACCTGGATACGTGATGCTATGTTGAGACTCTGACCGATATACACTTGAGGCTATCTCCATTCCATGTTCTCTCTGAATAACCCTATCTTCCTGTCTTCTGACATGTATCCACTAGCTGGGACAATTCTAATAGCAGTGTGTCGCATAGGGATGTAGAGAGGGAAGTAGCAGAGATGCTCAGAAGGAGATCACTTGCCTCCTAACCCCTTATCAATAAGAGGGAATTTTATTCCTGTCCTTTAATCAAGAGTTCAGACCAAATTTCATCTGTGAGCAGAGCCCTGTATCTCATCACCTCATTCTTGATTTTCTCAACTGTTTTCTGATCCTCCTTATGTTGAAAGTTGAGAGCCTTCATAGCTTGATTAATTTCCCTAAATAGAAGTGATAAGAAGATTTATTACATATACATGGCAGAATATCAAAAAATAACTATGAGGAGAAATTAAGTTACTGTTCTATCAGGACACAAGCCAAGTTTCTTCCAACCTGTGCCGAATTTTCTCATTAGCCTCTTGTGCGTGAAATCGAGGTAAGAGGTTATGAGTAGTGTAAGGGGCTGAAAGACAGAATGTTCTTCCCATACTGGCATGGGTCCATCACCAGATTTTGCCTTGAGAGTACAGAATTATAGAGTAGCAGCAGATGTGGTGGGGTTCTAGGTGGGTATCAGGGAAGTATGATTATCACATTAAACTTTTTAGGTGCTGGCATATTACCCATATTTCATTCAGTACACACATTTAAGGACAATGTTCTTCCCCTGAAGTTATTTCTGAAGAAGTGTCACAACACACTACGTTGCTGGAATGCAGGCTTTCCACTGAGAAGCAAAACTGATAGGTTGACTGGTCCTAAGGCCCTGGTCTTAGGTACAGATGTTATCTGTTACAGGGTTATCGCTTCTTGGCCTCTTGTGGGTTAAGATCAAGCTTAACTATTAAAGTCAGTGGAGTTGCTAGTTTGATCTTATTTACATGCACACACACACACACAATCAGAATTGGGACCTTAGTCTTGAAAGATCTCATATCACTTTTTATCAAGAGAAAGGTGTAACGGCTAAAATTTTAATTAAGGCATGAGTTCTCAATGTTTATCCATAATATAGATCAGAACTTAATAGTGTTTCCTGGATCTCTTGCTTCATGTTTGAGAATCCATGATGTGTCTGTGGCATCTATGATAATTGCTTACAAGGAAAAAGAATCAATATTGGAAAGGTACTTGGGTATTGTGGCAGGGCACGGTGTGTGCCTGCCACTTTAAGGGCCTGGAGCTGGCAGCTGCCAGGTGCCTGATGAGGGTCGCCTTTTTGGATCTGGGGCTGTCCATATAAACAGGGGAGTTCTGCTGCTGGAGGCCAGGCAACAACACCGCCTGGCCAGAGGACTGCTGGTATCACCTGGAGGTGAGGGAGGAGCTGTCGGGGATGGTCAGGAGGCTCCTGGTCCTGGGCATAACCTAAAACTGCACCCTGCCGGGAGTGGGTGGCCTGGTGGGGCTCCCAGTGGCGCGGGAGCCCCCAGGAAATGCCAGGCCAGTTACCACTCTGGTGAAAGGTGGGTTGGGGCGCCTTAACCCCTAGCCCCCACAACCGGGTGGGTTACCCCTTGTTGGGAGGGCCCGGAGGGTGGACCCTTGGAGAGAACGAATAAAGGCCATAGACTCAGGCTTGTCTGAGCTTCCCCCAACTGGTCCAAGCTGGGGCCAGGACTGGAAGGGTCAAAGGGCTGGGGGCCCACCACGAGGAATGCCCAAGAGCTGCACACCTGGGGTCCCGGCTGGCCTGGAGGTGGGCCAGTGCTAGAGAGCCGAAGGTCCCAGTGGGGGGATCACACCCAAAGGGAGATCAGTTCAGGGAGCTATGGTGCCCGGTATGATGGCGGAAGAGACCACCTGAGGGGAGGAATCCAGGTGGGGTTCAACAGTCGGATTCTGGGGCCCAGTGTGGGGGCCGGTGATGAGGAGAACTATAGATGCCACCTGTGAGGTTTGGGTTGCAGTGTAAGGGAGGAATGGAGCTGCAGATAGCGCCCCCCTGGCATCGGGGCATGAAATGGGCATCCTCCCGCTTATTAACATCTGATTAACTAATTAACAACAAGGCATGGCAGGAGAAAAGGCGGGCGGTTAGCCCAGGAACAGGTGGGTGGGCCACGGTTAGATCAGCCTCGAGCAGGCCCCCGTTACAGGTATCTTTAGCTTTCTTTAATGCTCGCAATGAGCACCATTTTGCCAGCCAGTTTTTTTCCTTTCCATTGTCTATTAGCAACCGTACTATGAACCACAGTTTAACACTCATAGAATTAGAGCATTTATATTTCATTTCACTTGTGAAATTATGGTAAAACAGAGAAGTCTGACTGATCCTCCCTATGTAAGTTAAGACATCCAACTTCAGGTCCAGAGCAGTCTGGACAACCTGAGTGAGATGAGAGACAGCGATGGGGCCCACAGAAGCACCTCCTGACTGTAGAGGTCTTGGCAGAGATGAGAATTTTGTAAAGTGGGTGCAGGGGGTTGAATAATGATGTGGCAGAAGAACATCTACACTTCCTTCCATCTACCTCCGCAATCCCAAGTGATGAACTTTAGGAACTTGGAAAGGTAGGCTTTGGAGTCTGTGGGGGAGGTTTAATTGAGGTGTGTGCAGGATAAAAATTGACTTGGGGAGCATCCTCCAAGTCACTTATTGCACAATCTCTGCTATATTGTAAGTATGCAGCATTCATGAGACTGTGCAGTGTGCTGCTTGGTTTTCAAATGCGGTGTCTGCTAAAAGGAACAGGAAGAGAGAGAAGCTTTCTTTAGCCAGAGCATGTACAGTGACTCACTCTCTGACCATCTCATTTGGCTCCAGAATCACTCTCTCCAATAAGGTGGCCTGAACACTTTCATCCTGTAAGTGGAGGGTGACAATGGCACGACAGGCCTCCTTTCGTACTCCTGGCTTCTCCTCATAGTGAACAGCCCAAAGAAGAAGACGTTTCAGCTGGGGGCTAACATGGCCTATTTGGCCCAATGCTGCCAAAGAAAGAAAAAATAAATGATGTTGATGATTTTCCATCTGATGATTTTCCATGCTAGGAGCTGGGTGGGAGCATTAACTCAGGTGCTTATTTCTGTGTATTAGGTTTCTAAAGGACTTAATGTTTGTAGAATCTTAGAAAATACAGTGTTTACCTGCAGGGTCAGAAGAGGTCTGCAGCAGACAGTTGTGTTACTATTACAAAAAATGGCAAACAAGTAATGTGCTCTGGGCCAATTGTGAAGTGCTGCCTAGGAGAGGAAGAGGGGACCTCAGTAGCAGATGGTAATGGTTTATATTCTGAGGCATGAAATTTGATTACATCCTTCTTAGCCTGCACAGCTATAATTATTTACTGGTCATAACCTTACCCCATCCTTTTCAGCAATCCATCATTTGATTTGTTTACATTGTAGAGGAATAAAATTCACAGGACAATTATGATTCTGAAAGTGACATTTAAAAAAAAATATTTGAAATGCAGCACTTCTTGATTTCACTGAGTGACTATGTTGGGTAGCAAGCTTTAAGAAATGCACTTTTTAATAATCACAGTGTGGAAAATACTAAGAAGGCTGCAGCAATACAGGAAAACAAAATATATATATAAAATTGAAGAATCCTGTTATGGTGACTTGTAAACATTTCAGTTTGATACAGAGAATAGATTGAAAGGCTAAGCATTCACACTGCATCTAATGCACCTATAACAGTATAGCTGTGTTATGCATCCTTTAGACAGGAAGGATGGACTAGGAGCATAGGCAATGCAAAAGTGCTAACAGTGGAGGGGCTGCCACTGCCTCTTCACTGCTGCTGCCACCAGGGGGGTCCCTGCTGCCAGGCATTGCCAAGGTAATACGTTTTTTTTTTAATTTCCTTCCCATTCTCTGTCTACTATTCTATTTTATTCCTTCATTTCTTCTCCCCCCACACCTACTCAACATTCTCTCTCTTACTGTTTCAGTTAGATTTGTGGAAAAGCTGAATTCAAGACATGCTTTACACTTCATCTGAAGGCCATGAGATTACTGATTATTTTAATCTCCTCCAGCAGTACCCTCTCAAGTCTTGTTCCAGTCACTCATAAATCCTTACAGATGATTGTTTTGTAATTCCTGAGAAGCATAGCTCCTGAGGTAGAGTCAATTAGATACCTTGGACAGCTCCCAAGCAGGCCTTTAAGATCTACCAAAGGTTCTGTATCTGATCAAATATTCTATGGAAAGCCATGGAGTTGGCAGGGGACAAGACTGAAAATTAGCACAAGCTTTTATAAGATTTATGCTGCACCCTACAAATTATACATGGATTACAAAATCCAAATGATGAATTAATTAATTTACTATCTTGGATTTTAGACACTTGTATAGGTTGCCCATACTTGCTACACTGGATTCTGGCATTTAAAACTGATAACTGAAGAATTTATAGCATGGTAGGGATTGTTCCTCTTGCTGGACTGCAGTGGTTTTGGGTACCATGCTGTCCCATTTCCAACAAAAACTCCATCAGAAAAGTTTTTTTTTCCTGGTGTGGAATTTAGACAAATGGTCTTATTTAAAATGTTAACAGTCAGTCCTTGTAGGACACACAGAATAGCAAAGTTTCAGAATACATGTCCCTTGTTAGATTTCTTACTCTGTTTGAAGGACACTGGTATAATGTTACTATTAGATTTACTCTGTTCATGGGTGTCATGTCTAGCATTAACATTTATTTTAAAAACTTATTTTTGGAATTCAAAATGTATTTTCTTTTAAAAACCAAGTAAATGATTAAAATCCTCATGAAGAACAGTCTTTTAAGGAAATGGCTTTTTAGCAACAAATTCTGCAGTACCTCTGATGGCAAAGGCCTTGATTTTCCAGTGAGGGTCAGTCTGCATTGTCTTCAAAAGGCATTTAAGGACCTGAGACAGAAGAGTACCACTGTTAATGGTATTCTTATCATGATTTATTATACATATAGGATCATACATACATATGATGCTGTATAGGATGCAACCTGCAACACACACTGAACAGATTCCTCCCCTAAAGAGTTTAAAGGCTAACAGAACATGTGAAAACAATAGAGGACAGAATTCACACAGGGTAGAGCATGGACATTATACTTGGAATGCTTCAGGAAAAAGATGGGTTTCTGAAGGTTTTTGATCAGGAATTGGAGCGAGGAAGCTTGCTTTGCAGCCCATTAGTTGGAATATTGTCCTGGTGTGTGTAAGGTGATATGGGAGTAGCTAGAAGGGGAAATTAAGAAAGCAGGAGATGGTAATTGGAGACAAGAGGATTTGTTTTGTAGAGAATCATCAGATTTGTGATCAGAAGGGTTGAGAGGAGCAATATGCTATTGGTATAACCTCTACAGGAAGTCCTTGACTCCTGGCAAAGAACACATGCCCTTTCAGGACAGGGACTGATTCCTTCTCAATTCAGAACCTGCCTGGGTAGTGCCAGAACTACTGGCCTTGATGACCACTTTATTTATTTATTTATTTTGCTTGCCACAGAAATTCACAGAATCTTTTACTTGACAATGCAGACATATAGTCTGCAAAGGTTCTTTTTTCTCCAGGGTTCTGTTCTGGTTCCAGCTAGGAAGAGATGAGATGACTGCAAATTTAGGAGCAATTATTCCAAATGTCAACTAAACTTTCTGTAAGCTACCTCAACATTTCATAGTTGTTTGGTCTCCAGGTGAAAGTCTAAGGATGTATATATGCAGTGAGCAAAGACTGTTCTTGACTGAGTCAGTTTGTTCCACTGTCCCCTTTACCCATATTTGTATACCTGTTTGCAGTATCTCAACATGCCCTGCCATTTGAGACATAATTATTTTTAATTCTGTATGGAAAGAAATATCCACAAGCTACAATTACTCAGCTCTGTATCACCAGCATCCTCAAGACATTCCTCCTTCTAACAAGCAAAAATAAAATAAAAGGAGCATAAGCTGCTTTCACTTTGCACTCAGGAACAGTATAAAGGGTTTTTGCCACTCACAGTCTCATCTTTGATCCTGAGGGCTCCAGCTGTAAGGCAAGCTTCCCGCCGCACTGCAACAAAGTCATTGGAGAAGCACTGGAGAAAGCCAGGGAGTAGCTTAGCTGTCATGAACCGTAGCCAACCAATCAAAGAGAGAGCTTCGACCTTTGTCCGGCAATCTCCCCTTTTCAGCTTCACCCTGAGAGCACAGATACACACTTAATGAGTGACTGTTAGAGCTAGTGTGCATGCCTCAGAAAGATGCACACAAAAATGACTCCTGATTTTCCACCAACTCCCTTTACATATATGGCTACATATTCTTTATAGGCCACATCCTTTTTATGAACTGGAAACTAACAATGAGGGATGTACATAAACAGCTCCACAAAATTCACCCAAAACCTTATTTTTCTTCAGCTGCTGATCCATAAATTCTCTGGGTACGTACAGCTGTCCAGTTGCTGTGCTTAGAGTTTCCAGGACATTCTTAGCACTGTGAAAATATTTGAAGCGAGAACTGCTCTCCTTATCCTAGCACCCCCAGGCATTCCCAGCATATCTTGAACAGTCCTGGGGAGCCTCAGGGACATCAGAAATTAGTGCCATCATTTGAGCAGCCCCAGAGAGTGCCAAGAGCTGCTCAACATAAAACAGTGGGAATCGGTACTCAAGGAGCCATGGTAGCAAGGTCTTCACAAGGCTCCCTGGTGGGTTCCCAGGGAGCGAGTCACTCTCTCTCCCTTCCTCCCTCCTCTTTGGGAGAGGGGAGGGAGAGTGGAAGACTGTGGGATACTGAGACTCCTAGGGAACCCCATCAGGCTATTAGGGGTATGTGAAGCGGGCCCTATTCGATTTGGATTCGGATTCGGTCTGAATTGGGGACAGTGATTCAATTCGTTGATTAGGATCACTGTCCCTGATTTGATTTGGCAGAATCTGAATCTGAAGATTTGATGCTGATTCAGTGAATCAGCTATTTGGACATAGACATAGCTTTAAATGTTTTTTCTACATACCTTGAGGTACCACCGCGGCTTGTGAATCCTGTGATGCTGGGGCACACGGAGCATCCCACAGGAGTGCGGGGGGACCCTCCACATGCTTGGCGGCAAACCCGGAAGTGGACCAGAAATACTTCTGGTCCACTTCTGGGTCTACCAGGGAGTGTGCATGCCCCCCTCCCCCCCAGTGATCAGCTGTGGGGAGCCTGGGTTTCCCCCCAGACCCAGGAGGCACCAGTCACTGAGCTGGGGGGGAGGGTAGGCGGGCAACATGCTCCCCAGCAGACCTGGAAGTGGACCAGAAATGCTTCTGGTCCACTTCCGGGTCTGCTGCCAAATGTGCTGGGAAACCCCCTGTGCTTCTATGGGCCACTCCATACACCCCAGCATCTCAGCATTCATGAGCCGCCTGCTACCTTGAGATGTGTAGAAAAAACAATTAGAGTTGTGTCTATGTCTGAATTGCTGAATCTTTCCGAATCTCTCCAAATTGGAGGGTTCCAATTCGATTCAAACAGATTAAAGGGTCCTCTGACTTTATTTGGATTCAGAGATTCGGCCACTGAATCGGGCTGAATCTCTGCCGAATTGAATCACGGACTGAAGCTTCACACAGCCCTACATGCTATGTGTAACTGATCAGGTATCACACATAGCACTAGAAAACAGCAAAGTTTCTGTTTCAAGAGCTAATAGTTTGTGATAGAATCACTAGGGGTGTTTTTCTACTGAAAGCTGCTTGAACACCCATACATTCTCTATTTCTGCTGAGGAAAAAGTGTTTTTCCCAACACAAACATAATGCCTGTCCACATCCTCTGATTTCCTTATTTCTTTGGATTGCAAAGTTTTCCCAACTTAGAAGAGAGGTTCCTAACTTAGCACCTTTCCCCACATTTACTAGTTGGGACAAGAAATAGTTTCATTTTGTTGATCTAAAAATTAAGTTGAGCCTGTGTTAATGAGATGAAATGTTAACATTGGGAAAAGTGTCTTCGCAGACAGGCTCGCTAACCTGAAAAGGAGGGCTTTTAACTACGTTTGCTGGGGGATGGAGACCAAAGCCCTGAGGTAAATGAGGAAGCAGGAGACCTGGAGGAAGAGCAAGCAGGAGGGGGCAACAGGGGAGGTGCTTTCACACTTCCTGAGAAATCAGGGCAATCAACTAGTTACCTCAGGTGCCTGTATACAAATGCACGGATCCTGGGAAACAAGCAGGAAGAACTGGAAGTCCCTGCACAATCGTGGAACTATGACGTGATTCAAATAACAGAGACTTGGCGGGAGCTCACATGACTGGAGCATGGTCATGGATGGGTACAAACAGGAAAGACAGGCAGGGGAGAAGAGGAGGAGGAGTTGCACTTTTTGTAAAACAGCCATATGATTTCTCAGAGTTTCAGTATGGAGCTGGAGATAGGCCTGTTGAGAGTCTCTGGGTTAGGGTCAGAGTGGAGAACAACAAGGGTTGTTGTGGTAGGGGTCTGCTATAGACTACCAGACAAGAAGGAAGTGGTGGATGAAACCTTCTTCAAACAGCTAGCAACAGTTTCCCAATCACAAACCCTGGTTCTCATAAGGGACTTCAATCACCCTGACATCTGCTGGGAGGGCAATACAGCAGTGAGCAGGCAATCCTGGAAGTTTTTGAAGAGTATTGGGGACAACTTCCTGGTGCAAATGCTAGAGCAGCCAACTAGGGGCCATGCTCTTCTTGACCTGCTGCTCACAAACAGGGAAGAATTGGTGGGGAATGCAGTAGCAGATGGCAACTTGGGCAGCAGTGACCATGAGATGATTGAGTTCAGAAGCCTGAGGAAAGAAAGGATGCAGAGCGGCAGAATAAGGACCCTGGACTTCAGAAAAGCAGACTTCGACTCGCTTAGGGAACTCAAGGGCAGGATCCCTTGGGAACCAGTCTGATGAGGAGAGGAGTCCAGGAGAGCCGGCTGTACTTTAAAGAAACCTTACTGAGAGTGCAGAAACAAACCATCCCGATGTACAGGAAGACTAACAAGTATGGCAGAAGACCAGCTTGGCTTAGCGGGGAACTCTTCAGTAAACTAAGTCACAAAAAGGAAGCCTATAAGCAGTGGAAACTTGGACAAATAACTAGGGAAAAATATAAGATCACTGCTTGGGCATGCAGGGATGAAGTCAGGAAGGCCAAAGTGCAATTGGAGTTGCAGCTAGCAAGGGATGTGAAGGGTAACAGGATGAGTTTCTACAAGTATGGTCAGTAGCAAGAGAAGGATCAGGGAAAGTGTGGGACCCCTACTGAATGAGGAGGCAACCTTGTGACAGAAGTTGTAGAAAAGGCTGAAGTGCTTAATGCCTTCTTTGCCTCAGTATTCACAGGCAAGGTCAGCTCCCAGACTACTGCACCAGGCAACATAGTTTGAGGAGGAGGTGAGCAGCCTTCAGTGGTAAAAGAGCTGGTTAAGAACTTTTTAGAAAAGCTGGATGCATACAAGTCCACGGGGCTGAATGGGATGCACCCGAGGGTGCTGAGGGAGTTGGGTGATGTGATTGCAGAGTCACTGGCCATCATCTTTGAAAACTCATGGCAATCAGCAGAGGTCCTGGGTGATGGGAAAAGGGCAAACATACTGCCCATATTTAAGAAAGGGAAAAAGGAGGATCCAGGGAACTATAGACCAGACAGCTTCACCTCAGTCCCTGGAAAAATCATGGAACAGATCCTCAGGGATCATTTCTAAGCACTTGGAGGAGAAGAAGGTGATTAGGAAGAGTCAGCATGGATTCACCAGGGGCAAGTCATCCCTGACCAACCTGATTGCCTTCTATGATGAGATGACTGGCTCCGTGGATGTGGGGAGACTGGTGGATGTGGTGTAACTTGATTTTAGCAAGGCTTTTGATACGGTCTCCCACAACATTCTCACAGGCAAGCTAAGGAAGTACAGGCTGGATGAATGGACTATAAGGTAGATAGAAAACTGGCTGGAACATCAGGCTCAGAGGGTAGTAATCAATGGCTCAGTGTCTAGTTGGCAACTGGTATCAAGTGGAGTGCCCCAGGGGTCGGTGCTGGGGCCAGTTTTGTTCAATGTCATTATCAAGGACCTGGAAGATGGCACAGAGTGCACCCTCAGCAAGTCTGCATATGACACCAAGCTGGGGGGGAGCAGTAGATACACTGGAGGGTAGGGCTAGGAGTCAGAGTGACCTAGACAAATTGGAAGATTGGGCCAAAATTAATCTCATGAGGTTCAACAAGGACAAGTACAAAGCCCTGAACTTAGGACAGAACAATCCCATGCACCAGTACTGGTTGGGGGCTGACTGGATGGGCAGCAGCTCTGCAGAAAAGGACCTGAGAGTCACAGTGGAGAATAAACTGAATATAAGCCATCAATGTGCCTAGTTGCCAAGAAGACTAACAGCATGCTGGGCTGCCCTGGTAGGTGTGTTGCCAGTAGGTCAAGAGAAGTGATTATTTCCCTCTATTCAGCACCGGTGAGGCCACATCTGGAGTACTGTGTTGTGTTTTGGGCACTCCACTACAGAAAGGATGTGGACAAATTGGCAACAAAAATGGTGAAGGAGCTGGGGTATATGACTTACGAGGAAAACATGAGAGAACTGGGTTTATTTAGTCTAGAGAAGAGGGGACTGAGAGGGGTTTTAATAGCAACCTTCATCTACCTGGAGGCGGGGGTTCAAAAGAAGATGGAGCTAGACTGTTTTCAGTGGTGGCAGAAGGCAGAACAAGGAGGAATGGTCTCAAGTTGCAGCAAGGGAAGTTTAGGTTAGATATTAGAAAGAATGTTCTCACTAGGAGGGTAGCAAAACACTGGAACATGCTACCCAGGGAGGTGGTGTAGTCTCCATCTTCAGAGGTTTTCAAGACCTGGCTAGACAAAGTCTTAACTAGGATGATCTATTTGGGGATGGTCCTGCTTTGAGCAGGGGGCTGGACTAGATGACCTCCCGAGGTTCCTTCCAACCCTAATTTTTCATGATTTTATGATTTATTGTAGACCATAGGGCAATTCAGAACAGTAAGAGTTAAAAGGGTGCGAGTGTGAAGTTCTGTGGATGCCAGAGTGTATCACAGTGTATCCAGGAAGAGCACACACCAACTGCTGAAGCTTCCTTAGCCTGATGAAGGGTTTTTGAACCTGAAAGCTTGCTTAATAACTATTCTCCAACCATTTGGGTTGGTCTAATAAAAGATATCAAATTCACCCAAGGAACCTTGCCTGCCTATGTCCTTAGACCAACACGGCTACAACCCAGACCCCTGTGACCGCGCACCTACCTTTCATTCTATCCAGGAAGAGCACACACCAACTGCTGAAGCTTCCTTAGCCTGATGAAGGGTTTTTGAACCCGAAAGCTTGCTTAATAACTATTCTCCAACCATTTGGGTTGGTCTAATAAAAGATATCAAATTCACCCAAGGAACCTTGTCTGCCTATGTCCTTAGACCAACACGGCTACAACCCAGACCCCTGTCACAGTGTATCTACTTTTCATTCCATCCAGGAAGAGCACACACCAACTGCTGAAACTTCCTTAGCCTGACGAAGGGTTTTTGAACCCGAAAGCTTGCTTAATAACTATTCTCCAACTATTTGGGTTGGTCTAACAAAAGATATCAGATTCACCCAAAGAACCTTGTCTGTCATAGTGTATCAGAACATTTGTAATTTGATCAAGGACATCCTGAGATGGGCGGAATCAGTATGTACTGACATAGGGGATAAGAAAAGTGTTTAGGATAGTACAAAAAACCCCTGGTACATACCTGAGAAGGTATGTAGGAATCTTATGATTAAATAAGTTAATTAATCCACAAATTGTAAAGTGTTTGCAGTCAAATGTTATTGATATTGAACATGTTGTGGGCAGTGATGCAGGCTCGATTTAAGTGCTTCTAAAGCATATAAAAAGGTAGAATAGAAGTGCACTTTGGATATGTATTTAATCCTGCCCTATCCCTGTTGTTGTCTAGTCTGATCACTTGGCTGACAGTATGATTAAAAGCTACCCTCAGTTTACACTCACTGAATAGCTGCTTCATTCTTATTTGAATTGTATTTGAATTGTATTGTATTGTACCCTACAGTAGGACTTAACAGGTCCTTGAAAGCAACAACAATCTATCTTGGTTTACACAAGTGTATTAAGTAACTATTTTCCCAGGAAAGTTTCTAAGTAGTCTATGTAACAATTTCTGGGCTTGTGAAAGAATGCTCTTGCAATTATTATGGCTATCATTTTAATTTAAAAGGTTCCTAAATACAGAATGTATTTGAAGGCCTGATCATTTCCTTTTTCATGTCCTTGTGTGACAAGGTATTTAGCAGAATTCATAGATTTATTGGAATCTGACAGGGCCACTCCATGAGTGCTTCTGTTATGGCCTCAAACTTGTGAACTCTAGACTGTCAACAGTGTGCCTTAGTGTCCACACCACCTGACCCCACTTGAAGGATTGAGGACTGTCATAGCCTAGATTTACAGAATACCTCCTAATTCCACATTGTTTGTGCTGTCGCAAACCTGGCATAATTCACTGCCAATTTAGGCGTAGATTTTTGAAAGTATTTAAGCACCTAACCCTCATTGATGGGAGTAGACTCCAAAATAATTTTGAGGATCTGAGTATAAAGTTTAAATAGACTCTAATATTTAAAAAGGAAATACTAGTGCAGCAGCAGGCTGACAAAGTAACAAAGGACTTAGGTGATAATAGCGCTGATCTTTTTCTAACAATAGCAAAGCTACCAAGATAGCTGACTATCACCTGAGTTGGTCGTGAACTTCCTTTCCAAACTTCATGTGCCCCAGTGCCAGGGCAGCTGCCTGGCGCACATCTAATTTCCAGTCTTTCCACATCAGCTGAACAAGCTTGTTCTTTAGGTCCTATACACAAGATAATGAAGTTACACACTGCAGCATTAATTAACCACTGGCTCTGATTGCCAAACACCACTTTAAAATTGGATTTTTGTTAAAGGCTTAAATATTAGCTTAATGGTACAGACATACAAGTACTTGCCCTAGGGTAACTGATATCATTCTGTAAATTGCACCAAGATCAGGAATGCATAGATGTACAGTTATCCCAGCACAGCTTGCACTATTGGCAGCTATTGTTGTGCTTTGCTGCTTGTGACTAGCAAAACTGATAACCGTCTGCTTGCCCTTTAGTAAATGACTTCCCCCTGTATGAAGTGATACCATTCCAGTTTTACTTCTGTTGGGGTTTTTTTTGGAATAATTCTCCACCTGGTTGTGTGAAGTTACCCTATCTTAGGGGTTTGCATAATCTGTTCACTGCCATTTTTACATTGGCATAAGCAAATCATGCTGGTATAAACATTTCCTCTGTCCATGCCCAAATTCTGCTGTTTTTGTAGTTGAGATTAAAATTATCTGTTCAAGTCAATCAGTAATTTATCATTTACTTCACTGGGAGCAAACCAGGGCCAGGACTGTGGGTTTTACGGTCTTACCCTTAACAGAAAGTTGTGCAACCACGTAAGGAAAGGCAGTGTCCTCCTATACTCACCATGGGAATTTCCTAAAAACCGAAGGGCTATACTTGGGATTTGATCCTGCAGGATGCCATTACCCTTACAATTCCTACTGAAGTCAATGGGAATTGAGACCACTCAGTACCTTGCAGAATGACGTCTGAAAATTTACATTAAAATGGCTATATTAAAATAAAAGCTCGTAACTCTATTACTTTGTGCACTTGCATCTGCCTTGATTAATGAATAGAAACTGCTGGTTAACTTCCATCAAGAAATCCTTTGCAGTTAATTAGCCACCTTCTCAGTTATGGTGATAGGTAGGCTCTTAGTTACTTGTAATATTTAACCTGTACCTATCCAAGAAGTCCCCAGGAGTTAGAGCAGTTATACCAGCAGCATAATTAGGGTGGGGTGACCAGGGCAGCTGTCCCAGGTGACAACTTGGGGAGGGAGAAGAGTGGGGAAAAAAGCTACTGTTGTCACAGCCACACAATTGCATTGGCAACTCGACTGCAACTAAAGTTGCTACTGTCCATGTGTGTTGCAGCTTCCCTGGGCGCCTTGGGGCTGTTACGCTTCTGAGTTACAGACACAGCAACCTGCTGGATAAGCCTACCTATAAGTATCCCTAAAATATGCAGACTACATATACTACATTCAACACTCATTATAGCTGGTCAGAAGTTTTGTGATGGAAGGTTTTATAAATATTTAAAAAGCAACCATAAATTGTGTTAGCAATACTCTTACAAAATTAAACCTGAATTCAACTATTAAATGGTTTCCATAAAACCATAGGTTTAAAAATACATGTAAGTGTACTCCCTAAGAATGGAAATAGTATTACTGGTTTTTTTTTTAATTATCACAGCACTTAAGGAACCTAGTCCTGACCAGGATATCATTGTACTAGGCACCGGGCAAACACAGATCTCTATTCCTTTGTATTAATGCTGTAACTCAGTGTGGAATTACAAAGCCTTACTTATAGGATTAGTCCCTAATTCTAGAAAGCCATGCTGACTCTGAGTTGAAGGAGAAGTACCAATAAAATTTATTGTAAATCGTGTTGAAGAAAATAATTAAAAACCCTGCTTGTTTAATAGCAAATAAACTAAACAATGATGGGGGTCTTCCTAGGGTAAGAAGCTGCCCATGATTTTTTTATATGCTAACAATAGTATCTAAGCAGAAAATTATATTTCAACCAGAGAAATGTAGGTCGAATATTAGGAAGAACTTTCTAATCAGGTTAGAAAGTACAAAGGAGATTATCTAGAGAGGTAATCTACATTCTAGTTTTGCATATAATATAAAGAAAAGAAAACATCTATAAATCAGCAGATAGTCTGATCTCTGACTAGTCAAAATATAGACCAGATATGGTACCTATATAGATAGATCTAAGGGCACCAATGAGCCCCCTACTTTTTAACTGTGAGGAATCAATCTCCACAGCAACAGATGTGACAGTACTAATGTCTTAGGCCTCAAGACATGAAGGAACTGACAATGTTGCACAGATATAGGGAAGCTAGAAAGGCTGACTGCTATGTGCCCAGGCACAACAAGGGAAGGACCTAGGCAGGTGGCCAGCAGGGGACACATTATGTTGGCTGACAGTAGAGGAGTTGTCCCTATATATCAGGGGTGCAAATACAGGGCCAGATGAGCAGTGCAGGGCCAGTATGCAGGCCAGATTGGATCCATAGACCCGCCCTCCACACTGAAGCTACCCAGAGCATCAGCCCAGGGCAGAGAGGCTCATGCACATAGTTGGCATGGGACATGTGCTGCACGTGGCACCTGCACCAGACTGGCTCTATGTGCTGGCTTCGGCATGCAGGGATAGCCTGTGGGCTCAATCTGAACTGGCCCCAAAGCCACCACACAGGGCCAGTCTGGCATAGGTACTACATACAGCACAGGCCCCAAACCGGCCTCCTGTGCTGTGTGTAGCACCCATCAAGCATGGGTCCAGCCCTGTGCATCGCATGCAGTGCACACCAGATTGGCTCCAAGCCCAGGGCTGGGGCATGCCACATGTGGTACACAGAGTCATTCCAAGACCCACAGGGTGGATTGTATGGCTTCATGGGCTGGATCCAGTCCTTGGGCTGTATCTTTGACACGCCTGCTATATGCAGTCTGCTTTGTATCTGTGAATATGTTTGGGGGAACTACTGAACAGGTGCAACAAGGTAATACTTACACTATGACATTGACTTATGTCTAGCAAGCTTGTAGTGAGTCTTACCTGGCTGACATACCCACGGATGCGGGAGAGAGCCTTGCAGGCCAAAATCCGATCTTTCCACTGGCAACTGTTCAATTTTGCTGCCAGCAGGGAGTACACCAAGCTCTGGAAGGAAGGTAAATTGTTCACATACAGTACATGGTAAAGCAAGCATAGGAGGAACTGGCAGAACATCTAGGAAAGTACATGAAAAGAGCCCCTGGAGAGGGTAAAATCTTATCCACAGGGCTGATGGCTTTGACAGTATTTACAGAAATATTTCCCAAGACTATTGACTAACCCCTGATCAGAACATAAAGGGACAGCTTTTATGTTACAGTCCATAGAGAAATACCAAAGCAAAAAATAAAGCCACAGTAGCAAGTGAGATGAGTTTTGCTTTCTAAGGACAGAACTAAGCAGCACAGCAGGACAGAACTTGCACATTGCAGGAATCTCCTTTGTGGCAGGAGAAAGGATCATGGCCATGGTTCATGGTCAGCAGGGAGAATGAATGATGAAGATGACCAGATATTTTACATGATGAATGCCCTCATAGGGTATGCACAGACATGGATGTTTGGTTCCCTGGGGACAACTAACAGCAGCGCACCTTGCACTGCAGCTACTTGTCCTCAGGGAACGTCCATGCCACGCGCGCTTTGGCACACAACAAGTTACCCCAGGGACAGTAGGGGAGGCTGAGGCCAGCACTATGCTGGCTGCAGCAACCTTATCTGAGGTCCTGGGGGCCTCCCAGGGCAGCAGCCGCAACAATCCTTCCAGACAGATACTAGCTGGCAGCCACAGCACAGTTCCAGGCAGCCTGGCTCTACTGTTCAGCAGTGCATACTGCCTGAGTGTGCGCTGCACTGTTTTGTTTTTTTTCCGCGGTTTTTTTTGGACTCCTGGATATCCAGGGGTCAAAAAAACCTGTGGAAAAAAACCTGGCACAGACCACATTCAGGCAGCATGGTCTTGCAGTGTGGAGAACACCAGACTGCGTGGTATGTGGTGCTGCAAACGTGTTTGTGGTACCACATATCTTATGACTGTGCTCATCTAGACATGCCTGTATTATCTGAGGAACAAGGGCAGAAGAAACCCTTCTGTGGGGAAAGACATCTACATAGAAAAATTAGTTGTTTTAATTTTTTTTTAACAACCCTTGCCAATCCAATAATACATTAAATTAAATGTGGATCCAAAAGACAAGTTACTTCTGCTGTCATATGACTGAGAAGTCCCATGAGATAGCTTTGAATAAAAAAACAGAAGCCACAGCAAAACAAATGCTTCCCTGAATCAGCTCATATCTCAGAATTGACAATGCAGCACTGTGCACAGGATCAGGGTAAGGATTTAGGCAGTGAACAGATCTTTTGCTTGATACCAACATGGGGTGAACTTCAACCACCAGAAGCTAGAGCTGGGAGACAGTGCTGCTCCCAGCCACTCAACTCTTTTTTCTCTTTTTGTTCTGCTTCTCTCCTCCCCCAGAGTGGTACGGTACCTACTGTGCGTTCACTGAGCTGGGTTAATAGAAGACACGCCTGCTTCTCAGTGGTTTCATCATTCTTGTCAAACAGCTGGGAAAGGATTTTAGTCACTACAGGTAATGTGATGATGCCATCCAGTGCCAGGCACTGTGCTGCTGCCCAGCTATCTGCAGAATTGCCTGTCAACAGTGGGAAAAGGAGGAAAAGAGGTTACCATACAGCAACACATGACATCCATACTTCTGCCACAGAAGTTTTAATTTGTGCAGTTCAAAGTGGTGGGAGTCCAGCCACCTACCTTTAATGCTCACATTGCCATGCACAGGATCCAGCTTAGTCTGAGATCCAGGCTTTTACTCTCTGAATGTGTCAATATATGCCCTTATGGTACCATTGTTACTGTGCTGTCATTTAATACTTCCTTTTGAAAGAACTAAATGATGGCGTAGTAACAGCCTGTACTGTGCCATGTCAGCGGTGCAATTATTTTTAGCTGCTACGTTGCTGTAGCAACACACTATAATGAGGGAACATGTTGCTACAGTGATGTAGCTACTGCATCATGGTTTGTGCCCACTGATCCTACATTGCAGTAGTGTGTTGCTACAGCCATGTAGCATCATGTGTAGGCACACCCTGAGTGTCACAGAACTGGGATACTCGCATCCTATGATGAAGGCTGAAATAGTTAATGTAAGTCAGCAACGACCCCACCAGTTTGACTAAGCAAGTCAAAGGATCTGGACCCTGGAGGTGGTGCAGTAAAATGGGGCTTCTTGTTGTGTGGCTGGAAGTGGTCCTGAGGTTGCAAGAATTTGTGGTAATGGGTAGAAATGGGTGGGATGGATCTATTCCAATAATGCTTCTGCTGTGAAAACTCAATCTTGGAGTGAGGCAACAAAGGAACTATGTTCATGTGCCATAAATCTTGCACCCTAGTAGAGTCACATCATAACTTCTGGGTGAAGTAAGGATCAGTCTTGAATTCATCCATATTGCTGACTGTGACAGGGTATACAGAGTGGACCAGATAGATTTAACAGATGGACCAGTTGCTTCTTCAACTGTAACTAAGGCTATGCCTATATCACATCTGTGGCACTGTTGGAAAAGAATGCTCTCAAGTGCACCCTGCCCCACCTACTTCCACTTGCACGCACCAATGTCAGAAAGGCAGCAGCAAATCTCATTTCCTTCTATGACCAGGTGACCTATCACCTGGACAAGGGAGAAGAGATTCATGTCATATATCTTGACTTCAAAAAAGCCTTCGATCTGGTTTCCCATGATCACCTCTTGGAGAAACTGGTCAACTGTCGCCTTGGGTCCTCCACGATCCACTGGCTGGAAAATTGGCTCCGTGGTTGTACCCAGAGGGTAGTAATTGATGGAAGTCACTCATCATGGTGTCCTGTGACAAGTGGGGTCCCCCAAGGCTCTGTCCTTGGACCCATACTGTTCAACATCTTCATTAATGATGTGGACACTGGAGTCAGAAGCGGACTGGCCAAGTTCACCGATAACACCAAACTTTGGGGCAAAGCATCCACACCAGAAGACAGGCAGGTAATCCAGGCTGACCTGGACAGGCTCAGCAAGTGGGCGGATGAGAATCTGATGGTGTTCAACGCCGATAAATGCAAGGTTCTCCACCTTGGGAAGAAAAACCCGCAGCATCCTTATAGGCTCGGCAGCGCTATGTTGGCTAGCACTATGGAAGAAAGAGACTTGGGGGTCATCATTGACCACAAGATGAACATGAGCCTGCAGTGCGATGCTGCGGCTAGTAAAGCGACCAAAACGCTGGCTTGCATCCATAGATGCTTCTCAAGCAAATCCCGGGACATCATTCTCCCCTTGTACTCGGCCTTAGTGAGGCCGCAGCTGGAGTACTGTATCCAGTTTTGGGCTCCACAGTTCAAAAAGGATGTGGAGAAGCTCGAGAGAGTCCAGAGAAGAGCCACGCGCATGATCAGAGGTCAGGGAAGCAGACCCTACGATGACAGGCTAAGAGCCCTGGGGCTCTTTAGCCTGGAAAAGCACAGGCTCAGGGGTGATCTAATGGCCACCTATAAGTTTATCAGGGGTGACCACCAGTATCTGGGGGAACGTTTGTTCACCAGAGAGCCCCAAGGGATGACGACTAGGTCGAATGGTCATAAACTACTACAAGACCGTTTCAGGCTGGACATAAGGAAGAATTTCTTTACTGTCCGATCCCCCAAGGTCTGGAACAGCCTGCCACCGGAGGTGGTTCAAGCGCCTACATTGAACACCTTCAAGAACAAACTGGATGCTTATCTTGCTGGGATCCTATGACCCCAGCTGACTTCCTGCCCTTTGGGCAGGGGGCTGGACTCGATGATCTTCCGAGGTCCCTTCCAGCCCTAATGTCTATGAAATCTATGAAATGCCTTGCTGCTATTCTCATGCACAGAGGAGATAGTGGTCTCCAGAGGGACCCTGTACAGATGTTCCTGGAGTGGTCTCACAAAGTTTGGCATGTGGGAGCAGCTGGGTGCTCCACATACAAGAGCATTATTCCCTGACCCCAAGAACACAGCAGAAGCAATGAAGATGCACCCATAGGTGTCAGGTAGCAACAACTAGCTTAAAGACTGCAGCTCAGGCAGAAGGGAAGAGTGCTGGAAATGATGGGAGCAGATGGGAAGCAACTTCTCAGCTCAGACTAAGAAAAACCTGGGGGAGCAAGGGGTGTTAGAAAACATCATTATGAGCATCCTTGAGCTGGAACTCTGCTTCTCTCTACCAATTTCCCACAGGAGAGAAAGTATTATCATTGAAACTAAAAGACAAGAGACAAGCGGTCCCTAAACTTGGGAAGGGCCAAAGCCCAAGTAGAACATCCATTAGACTTTTGTCTTTTGTTTTGTTTATATTTTCTGTAACACTGCAGTGGTAGGGTACTGGCAATGCACATGTCTCCCCTGTTTTTTTACCTGTGGCAAATTACAGGGTATACTGTGATTCTCCTGTCACAATGTGCTGTGTGGCTGTGGTATATGTGTGAACAGCCAGAGTAGATGATCTTTAAGATTCTTTTACCTCAGGCAGTGGTCAGACCCAAGTGGATAAGGAAAAAGAAGGTGACTGTTGACTAACATTAATTACAAGCATATAGAAAATTAGGAGGCCAGTTTACATTTTAGGTTCATAAATTAAGGTTACCATCTAAGATGGACATGTAAACAGCATTGATGTTCACCTGTGGAAGACAGTCAACTATTCTGGTCAACACCAGAAAGGAGGAACTGATAACTAAAAGTCCAGGCTTCTATTATTTTGTTATCCAGTGACTTGTTCTGTGCCCTTGTACAAGAGAACTAGCTAATCTCTATCTCAGATCATCCTTAAATACAGTGGGATTAATAACGGTCTCTGAGAGGTTTGAAAGACGTAGATAGTAGGTAACAAAAAAAAATTATTAATCAAACCTTAGTTCATTAAAGAGCACTTAGCAAATGCCACTGCTTCAGCCAGGCCATTAAATACGAAAAAGCATAACCACGGGAAGTGGATGATAAGCCCAGAATTCCACTAACAGTTGCTTTAAACTGATTCCTCTTTTCCCAAAGCAAAAAAAAAAAATCACAAATGCCAGATTTCTCCCTCTTTTCAAAAGAGTAATCAACAAAGGTTTCAATGCAGTTGTGTAGGCCACAAACTTGTTTTCAGAGCATCATGGTATGATGTCACCTGGGTACAATACTGTTCACTTTCTGTATAAAAATACAAGGTTGATGTGCACAGTTAAACAACTGCCGTGCTCCAGTCTAGAAGCAGCTGCACATTTAACTCACTGAGTTCTTTGAAACTCTTGAGATTAAAGAATGCAATATCCATATTGTTTCTGTATTGTAAAGCAGAATGTGCCTATGGGAACGACTTAATATCTTTCAAGGATGAAACCAAATCAGTTCCTTAGGCCTTCTACGGAACCCTGCACTCGTTCTTTACTAACTGTCTTGAACCAGAGCATGACATTTGTGCATGGAAGTGTTGACAATTTAGCAAAGGATGCCAATTCCAAAACTCAGGACTGGGAACTTTCAGAGGCACTGCACTCAGAACAGTGAAAGACCTTTCTCTCACTTTCCAGTGATCCTCCTCTGTTTAGAAACTGAATTGCATCAATTGGGTTGGAGGTAGCTGTATCTAGCCTTCCCAGAAGGAACAGGATGGTTGCAAACAGGGTTTTTGAGGTTAATGACAGTGAAGGAGAAAAGTTAACAAGACAAGTAAGTAACAGTAAAGCCCTTACCATGTACCAGAGCATCCTGCATGACTGCACGAGCCTCCTCATTCCTCATCCCTGTGGCATAATGACACACGGCTGCTGCCATTCTCACATGGGCACTCTCATGCCTCAGGGTCTTTTTCAGTAAAGGCTGCAGTTCTTCAGGCACATCCTGGATTTCTGGAACCTTTCCAGTGCCATCTATTTCTACAACTGAAGAAAATAGAGCCCTGAATAAGACAGTAGTTTTATTGTCCCACCCTCTGTTAACAGTGGAAACACATAAGTCTATTTTCCATTCAGTTCCAATATGGAGTATTTGATAAAATATTCATTTTACAAAAGTATCTTCAACCATAGTACTTTGCCCTTCTCTAGTACCTTCCACCTGAAGGTAATAGAAGCTTTCATTGTTTCACAAGTAACATTGAATTAAGACTTATAGCCCCAGGCAAGATAGTAAAGAATGGGTGTATAGTAAACCCCTAATTTGTGCAAAAAAACAGGCAAAGGGAGGTTAAGTAACTTGTCCAAGGATCCAGAAGAAGTCTGTGCAAACCTAGGACAACAATCAGGACTCCTCATTCCTAACCATGTGTTTTAACTGCTGGGTCACTTCTCTGTGGTTAAAACACATGGCTTCATCTCAATATATGCAGGCTATCGGTTCTGAGGATGTAGGGGGAAAAGCTTGGAGGAGAGGGATATGTGGTCAGAAATTAAATATTTTCAATTCATTTTATTTTCAAAACACTTGAAATTGAACACTTAAGTAATGATGAGATGATTGTAGAATTCTGGGAATAAATGGGATGATGATATTATTATTGGCAGCCAGTGATGTCATACTACACAGATATAAATAATGTTCACAAATTTAAAAAAGCAAAAAATCCAACAGCATACTAGGTTGTACTTATAGGAATGTCACTTGCAAATAAAAGGAATTAATTCTTCCACTCTATTCAGTGCTAATGAGGCCTTACCTGCAGTACTCTATGTCCAGTTTTGGGGCCCACACTTCAAAAAAAGATGTGGGCAATTTGGAAAGAGTCAAGCACAGAGCAACAAAAGTGACTAGGGACCTGGGAGGTAAGACTTACGAGGAAAGACTGAAATAACTAGGGTTATTTATTCTGGAGAAGAGAAGACTGAAGGGCATTTCATAACAATCTTCAAATACCTGAAGCGTGATTACAGAGAGGATGCAGACAGGATTTTCTCCTTGACCACATGGGACAGGACTAGGAGCAATGGCCTCAAACTGCAGGAGGAGAATTTTAGGTTGAGATCAGGAGGAACTTTCTGACTATGAGGGTGGTCAAGCATTGGAACAGGCTACATAGATAAATTGTGGAATCTCCATCCTTAGAAGTTTTCAAGAACAGGTTGGACAGATACTTGGCTGGAATGGTTTAGTCAGGGATGATGCTGCTTTGAGCAGGAGAGTGGACTAGATGACCTTGTGAAGTCCCTTCCACCACTACTTTCCTATGATTCTATGAAAGATCAAGTGACTCCCTTTGTTTTTATTCAGAATCAGTCTTGTAAGAGTGCTACAATTCCTCACGTGAAAAGTGTAAATTGCCAGTCCCCACATGAGACTTCTATTACCTGACTCCTGATTGCTAGTGTCTGATCTAGGTCGTTCCACCACTGCAGATGCACAAGTTATTATAGCTGAGACACGAACAACATCGTGTATATCCGTGAGAGCCCTTGTTAAGCCTTCTATAGTTGCATTCTGCCACTGGGGAGCTGAGAAATGATAAGGAAACAGGCACAGAAGAAAGTGTGTTTAAGATAATAAACAAATACAGTCTCTAACCCAGGGGTTCCCAAACTTACATTTCAAAAACCTAAAATGTATACTGGTAGGGGTACATGGGAAGCTAGTAAATCTGGAAGGGGGTACACAATAAGAAAAAGTTTGAGAACCTCTGCTCTAATCAATCCAGTAGCTGTGGACATCTCCCTGAAAGGAACTGATAGAAACCCCACCTTTGGCTTCATTCACACTGGACAGTGTTGGAGAGTATCTAGGAGAGGTCACATGGCCTCTGAGAATCACAGATATTATTTACTGTTAAAAACCTATGAATAGGAAAATGTGTTTGAGGAGTCTGAAACTGCCAGATCCTTTCCTGGGACCATTAATTAACTTTTAACTACTATTGACTAGCAGGCTTGTTTAGGCTGTCTACTCACTCAGCTTCCAAGCATTTTTCCACTGCTCCAACATAGTTCTGAGGATGTGCATATCTTCAGGCAGGCCTGCCTTAGACTCCTTGGGCTCTTTTCTCCCTTTACTGGTCTTTGCCTGAGGTGGCTCCTGGCCCCTTTGTACAAAATCATCAGCTTGGGTAGGCAGAGCAGTCCAGCGGAAAGCTCCCTTCTCAGGCTTCTGAGCTGCTCAGGCAATGTTATTAGAAAGAGATTAGCAGAAACCTACTGCAAAAGGTCCCTCCTGCAGAATGGTCAGGTTAGAAAAACCACAAACCTTGGCATTTCCTAAAATAAAGTACAATCTACATTCAGCCTCTCTTGTTAACCCCACTGACATTGAATGGTTTGTAGATTTAGTTTCATTTTGATAGGGTGGAGGAGACAGACTGTCTTATGTTCTTTCTAGAAAACATTAGGGTGGTGGAAAAATAATCTAGAAGCCTGGATGGATCCTATAGATCAGAGGTCAGCAACATCAGGCCTGCATGCTGGATCTGGCTCATGAAGTCAGAAAGTTTCACCTCTGCCTGTACCCATGCTGGGACTGGCTGTCAGGAGCTGTGCTGGGGGTGGGCAGCACAGCCCCACCCAGTTCCCTAGCTGCACTGGGGGTGCAACTTCCAGCTGGTGAGGAACTGACCTGGGGTCAGGCAGCTTCTACTTGCACCTGTGCTGTAGCGAGGAAGTTATGGGGAGAAGTGGCAGCACTACGGATGCAGCTTCCAGCTACCTGGCCCCAGCACAGCTCCCCACCAGCTGGGACCTGCCCCTGCACTGCAGTTGTGGAGTGGGGAGAAGTAGCAGCAACAGTATGGGCATAGTTCCCAGGTGCCTGGCCGTGGTGCACCTCTCCTTTGGCTGGAAACTGTACTCACATCACAGATGGGGAGCAGGGGGCTAAGAAAAGCAGCATAGGCACAGTTTCCAGCTGCCTGGCCCCAGGGTAGGTGCAGGCAAACCCCACTCAAGGCCATCTGGTCCACACTGGACTGGAGCCAGATTGTTTTGGCCCATGGCTTGCAAAGGTTGGCAGCTGCTGCTATAGACAAAACAGTGGCAATGTTAGGCTAGAAGTAGACTTGGAAATTGTCCTCTGAGTATAACTAAGTTACATCTCAGACAGCATATTCTCAAAATACTTTGGCTTGGCATTTTACTAAGATGTGAATTTAGCATTTTTTAACATCTCTGAAGACTGAAGCATCCGTAGGATCCCATCATATGTCCAAGCTAGGCAGCAACTGTGCAAGGGATACTCTTGCTGTCAACAAGGACTGAACTGCAAGTGGCCAAGCCAGTTTGCATTAACAGAAAGTCGGAGATAGGGAATAGGAGTGACTACCTCTTAGCAATCTCCTTTGAAGAACGATGATCTAAATATTGAGAAGTAATGTTCTAAACCATTCAGCATTCCACAAACTGGTCCATGGATCTCCTACCTGCTTTTTGTGGCTGGAAACTCCAATGCACTGGAGGTCTTGGAAAGTGCTGCTGGAGGTGTTTGTAATACTCATCATGATTCTCTAGGATGAAGCAATCCTTTCCTCTCTTGTCCATCTGATGGACAATCTTGACTGTCCCTAAATATGCACAGCAACAAATAATCACATGAGAACTGCACAAACATATATCAAAGAGGGACGTATTTCCCTGGTAGGTATGGGAGAATATATTTGGACAGCTATTGCTGAAAAGACCTCACAATGCAGTCTTTGGGCGGGACGGTTGTAGGAATAAATTAAAATGTAGGTGTGACTTTGGAGCTGTTGGCTCCATTTCAGCAATGGATATTACAATTGTGTCTAGTATACCATCTCAGCAATAAAATCAGTTTTGGAACCAACTAACTAATTTCTTGAGTCTTATTTCACAAAAATTGGAATGCTGGTCAGCAAAAAAGTTTAAAAATAGTTTCAGGTACTCCACCCTCCTGCCACCTTTTTGATTTACAATCACATTCTTGTGTTTCTTTAAAACATGGTTTTTCTTGCTCCTATTGCTGTGGGAAAGACCCATGCAAGGAATAGGAAAAGCTAATTTGTTCCACAGGAGAAAGAGTAATTCTTGCTGTTCACAAAGTGCTGCAAAATACATTCAGTGAACAAAATGGAAAATTAGAGAAAAATCTTCTCTACTTCCTTTCCATTCTTGTGATTGTAAGTATTATTGTGATCATAAAACACAAACACTTTAGACATCAGTCTGATTAGATTGATGGTGCCCCCTTAAGAAAATCCTACCTCAATCCATAGATAAATGTCAATTATTTAAAACAGACCTGACCAAAATCTTAGCAGCTGAGAGCCACACACTATAGAAGCTGCATCATCAGGGGTTGCACATCACAGGGGCCAGAGGCCCCTCTCACCTCCCCAGGAGCAAGCTCCCCCAGCACCATATGGGTGGGCAGCTCCCTCCCCATTGCTGCACCATGCATGTAGATAGGCACCCCCCACAGCCACGGCACCATGCATATGGGCAGGATGGTGGGCAGGTGCTCCCCATCACTACATCATACAGGTGGGTGGTCAGGTGGATCCCCTCCTTCCACCTCCTTGGCTGTGGGTTACCCTGCTGCAGTGTACCATGAGCTCCCCGAGCACTGCTGGCCACATCGCTCTACCCTGTCCCTTCTCCTGAGTCAGGGGTAGGAAGTGAAAGCCAGAGAAACAAGGGGGAGCCTGGAGCAAGGGCCATAGCAGCCAAAGCAGTAATAGGAGTGGTGACTGGGGGATCCCAGGGGCTGCAGATTTAGCCCTCGTGGGCTGCCAGTTGGACAGCCCTGATTTAAAATAAATGTCCAAGCAACTAGTTGTTCATTAAAATCAGCCATAATTCCCAAATGATATCTAATAATATAAAGTCCTCAAAATGCTCAGTACTTAGTATTTTCTACTTTTTCTCATCCTCAAAAATTTTGGAAGACAGATGAAAGTATATGCTAAAACTATCACCAAACCTGGACTCTGGAGAGCCAATGAAGGGAATGAGTTCTAGTCAGAGACCCCACATGGCGCAAACCGTTCATTAGCCATGTTAAACCAATTGGGCGTTAGCTCCATAACCTCTACAGCAGTATCACACAGGAACTGTCTCTCTGTCAGATCCAAATAATGTAGGTGTCTTAAGGATAAAAACCAATTATTGAAGCTAAGTGAAGGCCAGTGCAGACTATAAAACACTGGTGAAATGAGCAACAAGCTCAGGGGCTGCACATCACAGGGGCCACAGGCCCCTCTCACCTCCCCAGGAGCAAGCTCCCCCAGCACCATATGGATGGGCAGCTCCCTCTCCATTGCTGCACCATGCATGTAGACAGGTACCCCCCACAGCCACTGAACCATGCATATGGGCAGGGAGGTGGGCAGGTAATTACCAAGCAGGCTGAAACACATTCTGCACTGACTTAAATTTCCAAATGGGCAGGAGTTGGTGCTCCGTATAGACATTTCAATAGTCTAACTTTGAGATAGTTGTTATCTAGGATGAAAAATGTTACTATGTTAATATTGGGTAACTCCTACAACTATTACAGTAATTACCTGTATTTTTACTAGGTAGTACTTGACTCAAAGTGGCTAATCCTATGAGTAAATGCTAACCCCTCAATAGGTGTATTGGATTCCTTGCCTACTGCATTAAAGTATGAACAGGAATTTGTAGCAGGGTCTGTTTGCATTACCAAAGTAAAGCTCATGTTCGAAGGCATTCTTGGCAGCGTACGTGTATTTCCTCAGACAGGAGGTTGGACGTTCCCACTTCTTCATAGGGGATGCTGGTCTAAGACACTTCCTTTCTGTTTCATCAGCTGTACTGTTGTAACCAACAGGGTCATCTGCTGGCAGAACTCTTGTGCAATAAGCAGGCAACCTGCAGGCATAAAGTGGGAATGTTTATGGGGGAAAGGACACTGCCCTTTTCATCTAGTTATTGAAATCTCCATTCAGTATGTGAATGGACTTTTTTTTAATTTTCACAATCTCAGGTAGCATGGTAAACTCAACATTCCAGGACTACCTGTAGTACTATGGGTGATATTAACTCTGCTTTATATGCTGCCCTGGTACTTGATCACATGTTTTGCCGATAGTCACTTTATTCAGTGCAGAGGTTCTATAGTGTGTAGTAAATGCAGTATTTCAATATTTTTTCTTCTCAGTAGGCATGTCTATACATGAAATTAGTGCAACACAGTAAATTCCAGCACATAACATGCCAGAGATTATTGCTCATGGGTGCTGCATTTACATACACGCCTGGGAGTGCAGGATGCTGAGCCGGGTCAGAGCAGCCCTTTCTGGCAGGAAGCCCAGGAGGTCAACCTCTTAGCCTGGGGTGCTCCAACCTGGATCAATGTGCTGCAGAGGGGCTGACTGGGCCACAAGGGTGTTCCAGTGCAGGGCTAGCCAGCAGGCAGCCCCCACCCACACTGAAGCAGCCTCGTGCCCCAGCCAGCCCCATCAGTGTTTACACGTGTTGCTGTGCACTAAACACCGCCATAGGGCAGTATTTATGTTTACAAGTGCTAACCATGGTGGAGTTAATTAGTTTACTGTGACCTAATGCAGCTGATGTGTAGACACTCAGACTTTACTGTGGAGTTATTTAGGCAGATCCACAGTAAATGTCTTGTGTACATGCACCCAGTAGGTGGTCACTGACTTCATTCATTGTACTCCCTACTTGAACCTAGCTTTTACACAATATCAAACTGAATAAGAGTCTATAATATGATGCTGTTTCAGAAAAGGCAAGCATCATTCTGGGAGCATCATAGTTAAGACATGGGAAAAAGTACTCTGGTTTACTCAGTGCTGGTGACATCTCAGATGGAGTGCTGTGTTCATTTTTGGACACCATACTTTAACAAAGATGTAGACAAACTAGGAATAGTTCAGAGGAGAGTTAGAAGAATAAGAGGTTTAGAAAACATGGCCTAAGAAGAAAGACTAAGAGAATGGGTTTTGTTTAATCTAGAAAAGAGAAGAGTAATGGCAAACATTAAACTACTACTTCCATATGTAAAAGACTGTTAGAAAGGAGCTAGTGATCAATTGTTCTCCACCTTCTTTGGAGAGTAAATGAACAAAAAGTCACTTAAAGTCCATGCTAATTCACAAGAATTAATCAGCTTAATTTGTATCAAAGAAATTTTAGGTTGGATATGAGGAATATTTTCTGTTGGAGTTGTAAAGTATTGGAGACGTTACGAAGGAATTATGTGGAAACTCTTCCTTTGGAAGTTTTAAAGAACAGGCCAAGATGTACTTGATCCTGCCTTAGTGGAGGTGTTAGGGTAACGATATGAATTTTGGGGAGTACTGAGTGTGCAGCTGAATGAAGGCTTTTTCCTGTGTCTTAGCAAAACCTGCTGGTCACAAGGCTGGCCGATATATTAAAAGCAACTAACTTTGCTAATGCTTAAGTAAGTGGATTCTTAACAAACAGATAGGGTACAAAGTGTATGATGTGTTGGGTAAAAATAGAATGTAGCCCACTAGTGTGAGGAGACAAAGCAAAAATATAGCCTTAGAGATGGTGCTGAAGTCAGCAAAAAAAATAGAAAGAACCAGTGAGAAATCGCAAGTGACCGAAAGAAGATGGTGATCAAAGTCTTACACATGCGCTCTTAGCAGAGAGGCATGTAAATGAAGGAAATGCATAGGCAATACCATGCAACGTAAGCAAACAGTAAACAGAGGTGGAGCTTGAGATGGGAGGAGAAATGGGTGGAGCCAAAGGAGGGACATACATGGAATAAATGTTAATATGTATGAACCATGGCGTATAAAATGTGGAAAGAACTAATGTTCAGGGCAGGTCCCCGGTTTGTTTTTTTTTGGGACCTTTGCCCGAAGCTGTCTCCATTCTGAATAAAGCTGTTGCAAGCAATGTGTGCTAGTGTTTGCTCCCTGCTTGCTCTGGCTAATGAGTGACAAGATCCACGGGCAATTGGACTGTCTTCTCTCTAGTCGTTGGGCGCTGCATGGAGTCGGGGGTCTAACAGTAGGGTGATAGAATAAATTATAATATTTCATCCTATGTTGCTGTGATATTAATACTCCCCATACACACATACATGGAAGTTCTAGAAAATCTGAAAGAAGAGAAAGATGATACATTTATCTTCTGCATATGGCTTAGAGCAATGGTTTTCAACCTGTGGTATGCAGACCCCTGGGGGTCCACAGATTATGTCTAAGGGGTCTGCAAAAGATTACTATGATCAATCAAAATAATGCAAATACCCACACCTACAATTCAAAGGAGTCCACACCACCATTCAAAACCTCCAAAGGGGTCCACACCTCAATTCAAAAATTTTTAGGGGTCCACAAATGAAAAACGGTTGAAAACCATTGATCTATAGGTTTGAGAGATGACCAAATACTTGCATCAGATAAATAAATACAAAAGCCATGATCGTGATACTGTCTGCGTCTACACATGTGCTTAACTGTGGAGTAGACTAATTAGCGGCAGAGTAAAGCATAACCGTCTACATGTGCAATGCTATCAGGCTACAGTAAACTAATTAATGTTGCTGTAAGATAGTACAGAGGGGTAATTAACTGCAATTAAATGCACGTTTAGATGTGTAAATTGCACCCGGGCAGCCCAGCTAGCAGAGGACTAGACTGCCTGCTGTCTAGCCACACGGCTTCACACTTTCAGCACCCTTGTGTCCCAGCCAGCTCCTCCGTTGCCCAATACAACCACCCACAACTTGGGGCTGGCCCCCTGTGCCCCCAGCCCTCGCCTAAAATGCTCTGCCCTAGCTCAAATTGCTGCTGTCCTGGGAGCGCATATACATGCTGTGCCCAGGAGTAGTTTACTCTGGCTCAACCTCCTCTGGAGTTCATTGCTTCAAATTAATGGCATGTGTAGATGCACCCACTGAGTAGAAAAGAAAAAAAGTAACTTCTTTTAAGACAGCTTGTAATTAAATCCTTACCATGGTGTCAATGCATTTAACTATAAAAATGTATCACTATATAAATTTATCACTGGTCCATGTGGCCTCTTGGGCCCACATGATATCATTCCATCAAGAAGAAAGGTTATCTTAACTCAAAGTCTAAAAGCATCACTTTTTAACCATTCTTCTTCCATGAGCAGTAATCTGAGGGCCATCTTAAACACTCCACGTATTTTTCGCCATCACTGCAGTTTATCCTCATGTGGATGTGAAGGGATAATGAAACCACCCTGTGATGTAGCAGACCTCTGCATGGAATTGTCAGTCAGGCTGCAGGCATCTGAATGAAGGCTAGGGGTACATTGCCTTCATGGATGGCACAAAAACAGCTGCCGCCACAGTGACAACTGACCATGCTGTTGCAATTAGCACGGTGGGAGCTGGTACTACCACATGTATCAGCAGCTGGTCCAAGCGTGGGCCTGCCCTGCTATGCCTCTGATCAAATGAGGAGATGGGAAGGTCAGTGGATGGTGATAAAGGGAAGGGGTAAAGCTAGCCTCACAATAAAAGAAATGAATATTAGTTCACCTTGGAAAACATAATAAAGACAGAAATAATAGTATACTAGATGCTATCAAATGAGCCCTCTTACCTATAGTAGACTGGGAGAAGCGTCTCAGGTTTCTGCTGTGCTTGGCTCTGGGAACTGACTTCCATGGCATCTTCTCCAGCTTGAATTTCATCCAATAATTTCAAATCACTTTCAGAAGAAAGTTCATCCCTGATTCTGTTCCAGTCAAACTTTTGTTTTGTGAAACTATGAGGCTTATCCTGAATCCACCCACCCCAAGTAGCCTGTTGATTCACAATCCATTGAGCTGTGGTCCTGTTCAGCTTCTTCAAAAGCATTTCCTCCCATCCCTGACACCTTATCCTTGATACTGAGGCATCCCCTGGAGATACCTTCTTTTCTTGTCCTCTTCTGGTCACTGCTGTTGATGACATTTCATGAGATTCTGTCAGGAATGTCTTTGAAAAAGGAGTTTCATGAAGAAGTGGAGAAGGTGAGCTCTGCCTTTTGGTTCTCCACAGAGACTCTTCCCTGGTCCCTGTAGGAGGTGGAATATCTGATTTTAAAAGGCAAGGTGGTTGCTTTAGAGGGTGGAGTTTCAGTGGCTGCCCTACTTTCTTAGCAATAGATTCTTTGTTTTGTGGCTTTTGAATGATTCCAGAAGCATCATAGAGGTACTTGAAGTCACATTCCTTATAGGGGAGGGTGGGCAGCCCTCTGTGCTTCACAACTTCCTTGGAGAATCTCAGGTCTGTAGCTATCTTCTTGAGGTACTTTACATAGCATTGTGAATAACAGGGCTGGGAAAGGCAGGTATCTTGCAAAGGCCTGGTGGTCTTTGTAGTTTGCAAGTCTACAGGTGAGTTGCTGCAGGACTGGAAGTGCCCAGATGGCTCATGGCTCTCAGAAAGGGTGACCCTCAGTTTATCATCAATAGCAAATGGATTATTACTGCTGCAAAGGGTTGATATATTCATCCTTCTAGCACTGGTGAAATATCTTGCTTCTGCTACTGGGAAACACACTGAAATATAGAAATCAGTTTGAAGAACTATATTAACAACCCAGGTCAGCATGGTTTCCTTAAACATTGTTGGAGCCCACTGAAATAATGCATATTACAAGGAAAACCAATGGGACACTCCATTTATCCAGTTCATCAGAGCTCCATGGTAACACCTTCCATTGCTATCACTTTCAGTATCTTGGTCTGCATTCATGGAAGCCATGCTGAGTAGTCACTAGTTTGGCATAAGAGAATGGATTTCCTATGGTCTGATAATGCTGGGACAATCACCTGATGATCTAGAATCAGCACACCTCTTAAGCATATGCTTAAGCACATCTCTGTTCAGTTAAGCAATTAAATACATACTAAATTTTAAGCCCTTACTTGAGATCCACTGAAATGACACTTAAGCACATGCTTAAGTGATTTGCTTAACTGGAATCTACGTTTCTAAAAATGATAAAGGAGGGACAAAGAGAAAAGAAAAGAAGAATGGGATAGATAGTGAGAAACAGAAAAAGAAAATAAGCAGGCTCTTAGTCTGTGTTTCTTAGTCTCTCTCTCTCTCTCTTCCCCCCTCCCCAATCATTTACTTTCTTTACTCTTTGATACAGAGATTCTGCATTTCCACCTATATTATTGTGTTTCTGTCCTATATTATCCCTCCCTTTTTTCCTGCTATCAGTAGCTTCTCTTCCTGTTTCTGAGGGTGGGGCATGGTGATGCAGTACCTGAGGCATCTTGCTATATCTTCAAAGGTATGAGTTTAGGCCCTGCTCTAGATTTGTGCTATAGGCCATCTCTCATACAACACAATGAAAAATTTATGGGAGACATCTAGGCCTCCAAATTTAATTCATAAAGGCCAGTTCATTCAACAAAAGATAGCAACTTGTGTTCACTACTGTCCTTACCTTGATCTGAATCAGAAACCTGGAGACAAAGACCCAATACTATATTAACAATCCCCTGAACCATGATGTCCTATTTTTCCTATCTGTCAGCACTTGCTGGTTTGCATATATGTTGTCAAATCCCACTAAAACAGCATGAGAACTTTACTGAAGCTAAGAAAAAATGGGTCAGCTATGAAGTCAATAAATACTCTGTATTTACCTTTCTGAAAGGTTTCTCCAATGTTGGTCTTGTATTAACAGGCACAATCTGCAACTAATTGCATGATAAATCTTAGCTGCTTTGCTGTTCAGAGGCCTTCCTCCAAGTTGTGTACAGGTGTTGCCTAGCAACTAGTGACACAATTAAATTCCATCAAGTGTCATTGGTCTATATTCCAACTGGGCTGTTTGTGTTTTTAGTAGCTCAACTGCCTTCATTTAGCTGAAGAGATACCTTATTTTGTAAGGAGAGATACCTATTGAGAGATACCTTATTTTGCAAGGAGTATTTTTAACATCTCTTATTATCTACTGGTAAGACTTTCATAGAACTGTACTAAAGTCCAATTAGAATTTGCTATGCAAACCTGATTTTTAAACAGGATATAAACATTTGTTCTTAGCAGAAACCTGATGCATGCATTATTAGACATGGAGCAGTATCTTTTCATTTCCCACTATCACCGGATACAATTTTTGTTACATTTTGATTCTAAACTAGTTTGTAAATTCTTTGGAAAGGGGACTTCGTTATCAGTGCTTACCACGTGATAATCTCTATATAATAAAAATGAATGATCAGATTAGTTTGTCAGATTTTAAAGTGCAATAAAGAGAAAATAAAATAAGGATAACTGGATTTTAATTCTTCTTGCCATCAACCTCAAAGAGAACCTGCTCTATCTTGAAAAACTGACTTTCCTAGCCTATATTCATTATTACTCAGTTTAAACAATGTACACTTTGCAATCTAAAACTAAGACCCAGATGACACTGACATCTTAACTAGGAGATAATATTGGAAGATGTCTGACAAATAAAAATATAGAAGCACTTTTCACTGTAAAGAATCATAAACTATACATGTACACATGCACAATTCTGCAACAACATCTCAAAAGCGCAGTTCCTAACAGGAGGGAAGAGACTTAAAAATGAAGGCTGGAACTAGGTTAGAGAGAAAGGGCAGAATGGGTGCAAGGGAGAGAACAGAAGGGGAGGTGGACAGTAATATTAAGCAAAGGGGAAAGGGCATATAGAGAGAGAATGGAAAAATAGTGAATGCAAAAAAATAAAGAAAGCTGAAATCTGTTTGAGATTTATGCTCTCTGCAAAGGAATAAGTCTAGTTCTGTAACTGCAAGTCTCTTGTGCTAGTTTAAAGCCTGGTCTATCAATATTTTGTACCTCTTAAATAGCCTGGTGAGGAATGACCTCTTTCCAAATTATTAAATCAGTTCATGCCTCAGCATGGAATCTGGCATGGGGACTGGCTTGCTTGGCAGCTGGGGAGCTCAGTAGCATAACTAGGGGTGGGCAAACAGGGCACCAGCCTTGGCACCGAGTTAGGGGCTCCAGAATTCCCGCCCCCCCCCGCCACCCCTTCCCAGCTCTTGGAACCTGTGCATCTCCTGCACTCTCCCCACTTTCCACCTGCTCTCCCACAGAGTTTGCCAGGATGCCAATCCTGCTTGTTATATCTCTGCATGATGCTCTTGAGGGTGCCACCCTTCAGGACAGCCCACATTCTGTAGAGACTCAGGCACTGACATAGGCACTGACTTATTTTTGCCGGGGGGGGCTAAGATGGTGGACACGTGCCCCCTGCCCCCAATATGTGGGAAATGGGGTGGGTGTGTGAGGAAGGGGGATGTGGTTACAGGTGATGCATGCGGAGGCAGGAGGGGGCACAGGCAACATGGCAGCGGGGTGGAGGGGCATCTACCCCATGAGATTTCTGCCCCCCACAGTGGGGCACAGGGCTACAATAGGACTGGACCAGCTCCAGGCAGAAGCCACCTCTGCAGCCCAGAGGGTGGGACCTGGTGCAGGAGGGAGCACTACGCTGCCATGGCTGCCATGGTGAAGTGCCCCCTGCCTGCCCAGGAGCAGCAGAGACAACTCTACACCACTACCTTATAGGCTGCCGAACGGGTTAGGCCACTCAGGCCATGGCCCAACCAACGTTTAGCACATTAATTTAGCTAGCTATGCAGTTAAAAAAATAGCCATACAGCTTTAACTGGAAGGACAATTGCACATTTGTGGGTTATATAAATTCACATGCTAAAAGTTGGTCAAGTCATGGCCTGGGTGGCCCACTCTGTTCTGCGGCCTATGCCTCACCTTGTCAGCCATGGTAGGGTTGCCAACTCCAGATTCAACTTTGAATCTATTCCAGGAGGTTTCCAGAACTCCAGCATGCCTGCAACACACAGCGGAAATGTGCCAACATGCTTGTGTATATCAGTTACAGATTACCGAGTAGACTTCACATCAGGAAGGCAAATGCACATTACTACTACATTTTTAAAAACCCACTGGACTACTGTATAAATCAGATTTAATATTGATTTTAATGAATGCCCTATCATTTATCTCCCAGGTGACTCTCAGCAGTCTCCTGGAGATTTATATCTAATTCCTGGAGACTCTAGGGCAATTCTGGCAGGTTGGCAACCCTAGGCCATGGCAGCGCAGTGCTCCATCCTGCGCCAGATTCCACGCATTGGACCGTGGAGGCGGCTCTTGCCAGGACATAAAGCCAATGGCAGTGCAGAGTCACTGTGGCCGCTCTCCCAGCTCCGTGGGGCCCCCCCAAAGTGCAGGGCCTGGGGCAGTCACCCCAATTCCCCTCCTCCAGGGACAGCCCTGGTCCTCATCCACAGGTTGAGAAACACTGGTCTAGAGCAGTGGTGCTTAACCTTTTAGCCCTGGGGTGTGGGGCCATCTACAAGTTAGGTCAGACCCTGCACACCAGGATCAGGCCCCAGGAGCCCTGCACCATCTCTACCCACTGTGTTCAGGCTCCAGGGCCCCACACCACCTACACCTGGTCCTGCATGTGGGGATTGGGTTCTGGGGCTCTGCAACATCCCACAGCCCTGAGTGCCAGGACTGGGTCTTAGGCTGCCTTGTTTACCCAGTTGAGCATGCAAGGCCATGGACCTGTGGGAAGCCTCATGGGCCAAATGACAGGGCCTGGCCCACAGGCTACGGTTTGAGCAACCCTGCTCCACAGTAGAATTAGCCCCACACCTTCCCCGAGTGCTGATCCCATCCTCTTCTCCTGTCTGCTCTGCTTCCTGCTCCCTTCCCTCTACTGACATAGTTTACATAAAATTCTTGCCACAAAGGCAAAAAGGCACTGCAGTAAATTGAAGGGGGGTAAATTATCATTAGTGCATAATCCAACAACGTGGAGTATGCCAATACTTGAAAGCCCAGGGACCCCATCTGCACGAGATCCTCTTAGCCCCCCCGCCTCACAGCTTGCTGTGCATTCTTTGCCATTGAGGCGGTTGCGGAAGGAGGCTTGGATCCCTTGCCAAGCATCCACCTGTGCTTCACAAGGGGCTTTGGGCCCAGGCCCTGCTAGTGGCTCGCCTCACCGACTGCGCCAGGCCGGGTTTGTGCAGCAGGGGCCGGGGAAGCAGCGAGCACCAGCCCTGGCGGCGACAGCAGCCTCGTCACGTCGCTCTCGCAGCAGCCGCAAAAGCTGTCCTCGCCGCCCCGCCGCAGGCCTTACCT